CATCCCTTATTTTTATGGCATGGCCATCCATCCAGTTGTCAAAGCTAAAAACTGGCTATTATTCTAGACACTTCCATCCCCTCATCCCCAAACTGATCAATAATGAGGCCCTATCTATTCTAGCTCCTAAGTATCTCCAGCATATGTCCACTTACTTCCAGCCTCTTTGTCACTACCCTGGTTCAGCCACCATCCACCATCACCTCTCACCTGAATTACCATAGTAATTCCCCAACTGGTACACCTGCCCCCTATCCTTCTTTCCTCCCTCCAGTCTTCATGTTGCAGTCACAGAGATGCTTCCAAAGAACAAATTCGATCACACTGCTCCCATTCTTAAAAACTTTCATTGGCTCCCTAGTGCCCTTAAAGTTAAATCCCAACTCCTTGTATAACTTACAAACTGCATAATCTGGCTTCTGCTAATGTCTCTAATTTCATCACATACAACTCTTCTCCTTTTAATATTATACTACAGTGACTCAAAATTTTTTCAATACCCTAACCATGGCTAAGTTCAACCCCTGAGGACCTCCTCAAATGCTATTTCTTAGGCCTAGGACACTTTACAAACCAACCTTCCTGGTGCCTAATGCCTCAGCACATATCACTTCCTCCAGGATGCCTTCCCTGATCCCTCCAAGCCTGAATTAGATACTTCTACTATATGTTGCTGTATTTTCCCTGTCTCCACACTTACCACAAGGCATTGTAATTGCCTGGTTACTTATCCATCTCTCCTGTTCTAGATCTGAAATATTTTTTGTCGTACCTAGTGCCTAGAACTATAGCTGTGACTTTGTAAGCTCTCAGAAACATTTGTGGAATAAATGAAGTTACACTAGAAAAAAACAAATGGAAATCATTTTGAAATAAATTATTTCTCTATAGAGTTTCACATTAAAATGAAGGTACAGACTCTCAGAAGCCCCAGTGTTACCTATGAACTAAAATTTGAAAAACATAGGTTTTAAAGCTATAAAACACAATAACAACAACATGCTCAGCTCTATTTAAAACTGACCAGATGATCATTTCACAACACATAAAAATATCAAATCATTATGTTGTACATCTAAAACTAATGTTATGGGTGCCTGGGTGGCTCCATCAGTTAAGCGGCTGCCTTCAGCTCAGGTCATGATCTCGGGGTCCTGGGATCGAGCCCCATATCGGGCTCCCTGCTCAGCTGGGAGTCTGCTTCTCCCTCTCCCACTCCCTGTTTGTGTTCCCTCTCTCGCTGTGTCTTTCTCTGTCAGATAAATAAATTCTTTAAAAAAAAAAAAAAAAAGAAAGAAAGAAACACTCTCCTTCCTGGACTTTTCAAAAAAAAAAAAGTAATAATAATAATACTGGAATTAAAGTTAAAAATTTAGAGGCACCTGGGTGGCTCAGTCAGGTGAGCATCTGACTCGATTTCTGAGTCCTCATGCTCAGGTCATGATCTCAGGGTCCTGGGGTCAAGCCCTGCATCGGGCTTCATGCTGAGAGCAGAGTTGGCTTGAGATTCTCTCCTTCTCCCTCTGCCCTTCCCCCCCTTCCCTCGACCCCGCTCACATGCAGGCACACAGGTTTCTCTCTCTCTCTAAAAATAAATAAATAGGGGTGCCTGGGTGGCTCAGTCGGTTAAGCAGCTGCCTTCAGCTCAGGTCATGATTCCAGGATCCTGGGATCGAGCCCCACATCGGGATCCTTGCTCTATGGGGAGCCTTCTTCTCCCTCTCCCTCAGCCTGCCTGCCGCTCCCCCCGCTTGTGCTCTCTCTCTCACTATCCCTCTCTCTCTCTGTGTCAAATAAATAAAATCTTTAAAAAAATAAAATAAAAATGAATAAAATCTTTTAAAAATAAATACAATTAAAAATTTAAGGAAAAAATGTTTAAGAAAAATTTTTAAGAAACTAAATGACAAAAATTGTACCGAAATATAATTTATTCTTCTACTACTTAAAATAAGCTGATTTACTGCCACAAAGTACCACAAATAATGTGTATATTTTAATCCACATATAATCTACATGCTCAAGGTTAAAGAATGAAGTAGTTCCATAAGACTTATTAAAAATAGAAGTTCCCCACTAACTTCCCATTTTCTGCTCCCTGAAGTAACAACTTTCAGCTCCTTTAACTCATCCTTTTGATATTTACCTCCACAAACCTAAATAATGTGTTTATGATGCTACTTCTTGTTTTGTTCTGTTTAGATCTGGGACATTCTCTACTGACTTCCCACTATCACAGATAGGTATGTAACTCTCTTTCAGCCCCCTTCCCAGCCCCCAACACAGCGCACACCCCTATGCCTCCAGCTTCCCACCTACCATTTTGTTAGATCAGAATTTTAGGGGTTAATATGGTCATTAAGCACCAAATAAAAGGCTCTTTTTAATTAAAAATCCATTTAACTAAAAAAATCCATTTAAAAAACATCATTTTGACTATGTAAGTGTTATTCATAGCTGAGTTTTAAGTATGTCACGATTTATTCTCCTTTCAAGTGCATTTTGCTTTCCCTGTGGTTGGTAATTGTCTTTATTTTTTTCTCTTTGCTAGTTTCTCTGTATTGATTACTAACTTAAGTCCCCAGTTACCTCCCAGGTATGTGTCTCCTCTCAAGGGTTCAACCACATTAAGTGTTCTATTAATTTCATCTTGAGTTTCCTTTGGAGCCATATGACGTGCTGTCATCTGATGACGCGCTAGGCATGCCACACACTGTCAGCTGGTACCACTCTTCACCATTGCTGTCGGGTTATCCAGTTTCATCTTTTTTGGTCTAGTCCTCATTTTGGTTGGCCATATCCTGAAGTAACTAAGATAAGAAAGCTTGAAGATAAATTTTTGGTGACCTTGTACATCTAAAAATGTCTTTCCCCTACCCTCATTTTATTTTATTTTTTCACACAACACAGGAAGCTTTATTCATCCACTCCATTCCAGAGAAAGGCAGGCTCACTTTAGTATGCTGTCCTCTTGGGCTTCTGCCAGTTCTCTCTCAACCCATTCTGTTCATCCTGCTTCTTTTTCTCCTCAGCTGCTCTCCTCCTTTCCTCTTCTGCCCGAGGTTTCAGGTAACTTGAGCTTGGCTCCGTAGGCAATGCCGAGGAACAGGCAGAGCAGTGGCCGAGATTGATGAGCAGAGACCTGGACAGGCAACACCATCTTGTCCAAAACCTTCATGCTGGAAGCATAATCTGTCTCCTACCTTCACTGTAATTCATAGTTTGCTTAACATATAGAATTCAAGATGGGAAATCATTTTCCCTCAAAATTTCAAAAGCAATTCTCCAAAGTATTGCTGTTGACAAGTTGAATGCCATGATGACACCTGACCCTATGAAGTCTGTTTTTCTGAAAGCTTATAGGATTTTTCTATCCCCAGTGTTCTGAAAGTTCACAACGATGTGCCTTGATGTAGAAATATTTCCATTCACTGAGCTAGGCACTTTCAATCTAGAAAGTCAAGGGAAATTTTCTTGAATATTTTCTTCAGAATTACTCTCTTCCACTTTGCCTGTTCACTGAACTTCCAGGTCTGGTCCTTTGATTTTCTTATCTATTCACTCCTGTTTTCCATTTCCTTGTCTTTTTGTTCCGCTTTACAGGAGTTTTCCTTCATTTTATCTTCTAACCCCTCTGCCAAATTTTTCATTGCTGTTATCATAATTTCCAAAAACTTCCTTTTCTATAGCATTCCTTCCTTCTTTTATGGATGTAGTATCTCTTAACTCTAGGAAGAGAATTTGAAATTATTCTGCATTGTTCTCCTCCCTGCATAGTCTCTGCTTCCTCCCAATTCTTTTCTCCTTGTGTTTATTTTTTTGTGTCTGTTAAATGAGATGCTTTTCTCAAATGTCTGACAATCCTTGTCTATCTGCTTCTATTTAAGAGTATGACACTAAAAAGTTGTTTGGAATCTATTTGTTTATGAGTGAGCCCCATGACTCTGGTCTTCACAGTAAGGTGATGGGGCAGGGAGCTTTCCCCGGTGACTCCCCACAGCAGTAACTTTAAGAGGTCTCTTCTCTTGAACTGGTCAGATTCTTCAGGCAGGACTCTTTATATGTTTTGTTTTTAATTTTCTCCTTCTTGCATAATCTCTATTACTTCCAAATTGTTTTTCCATTCGTTTCTTTCTCCTACCAGGTACCATTAAGTCCTGTGTCTCTTCAGGATTCTGGGATGAAAACTGGTTTCTTCTTTGCTTTCTCCATTGATGACTTAGGATTCAGCTTTCCTAGGTCTGCTAAGGTAATTACCACTAATCCACCTACTCTTTAACCTCTAAAACTATGTTGCCATTTCCTCTCCCTTTCTGGTCCCTATGGGCTTATGACTTTTTAAAAAATACCTTTATTGTTGTTTTGTGAGTTTCAGGAGAGAACAGGGCCAAAGGTGGCTGTTCAAATGGCCACCTTAAACTAAAAACTCTATACTTTTTAACGGGCTAAAATAATTTATAACCCAGCCAAAGACAATGGTAATCCTTTTTAAAAAAAAATTTATAAGTTTCTGCAAATATTTAAATTGTTAGCATACTTTTTAGAAAGGCATTATTTACATTATTTATTTTACCCTGTGAGACATTGATTTTTAAAGCAATGTAATTCCAAATAAAAGTATATTTCTCAGTGCCAAAGCTACCCAAAGTGTTATAATGGTCATCATTACATAATTTCTTGAGCGTTTATACTAGACATCTGGATATTCATTTTTCCTTGTGGAATTTTAACTTGGAAAAGGAGTATGGCATTTTAAATATATTTCAGAGACAAAAAGCTTCCATACTGACCTGGTCAATATGAAATGCTAATGGATTAGCTGATAGGAGAAAAAAAACAGGGGACAGAGAACCAATGGAGTCACATAATTTTCCAAAACAGAGGTCTAGACAGACATGGCCAGTAGACCCAATACTTTGCTGCACCTACCAGTACAGAGGCTATGCTTAAGAAGGTAGAGGTTAACCCATCTTAGCTTTAACATATAAAGGAACACCCACCTGAGGATGATTTTCATCAGCTTTTGTAGCCAAAATGCAGAAATCTCCACAGGTAGTAATAGAAATGAGACTTTTCACATATTTAACATATTTCTCATTGTTTTTCGTATCCCAAAAGATAACACAATACTCTGGACGATCAGGTCTGGTATAAGCATAAACGACAGTATTTGAGCAATAACCCCACTAGGAAGAAAGGAAGGAGCAAAGAACAGGAGGGAAGAAGAGAGGGAGAGAAAGAGAAAAAGAACATTTAACATTGGGAAAGAAAAAAGAAAAAAAAGAAAAATCTTATTATATACTGTAGATATGTGGTTTTTTTGGTGCTGACCAAATATCTTCTTCAGGAATAGAAGACAGAAGGACTGAACATTCAGCTTAATACCTTTTCTCACTGAAATAACAACAACAAAATCTAAAAGCAATACAGTTATCAAACAAAGAATGTACTACAAAAATAAATTTAACTTTCCTCATTTTCATTTGTAAGATTTAAGCTTCAGTGGTGAAAATTTCAGATTTTTCAATAGTCATTACCAGCTGCATGGGGGGACAACAGAAGAGTGATCCCCACCAAAAGTTTATACCAAAACCTAATGATGTAATGTATGGTGATTAACATAACATAATAATAAAAAATAAATAAATAAAAGTTTATATTCTGGGTCCCCAAGCCAAAATTCAAAAACAGATGCTTTGCCTTTTCTCCCCATCCACATTTTCTACATTTGTTTTTACCAAAGTAACATGTGCACATAGTTTAGAGTCAAATAATTCTATGTGGCTTCTTTAAAACAAAAATAAAATGCAGATCCCACTGACTAATTTCCTCCCAGGGGCAGCCATTTACAACTCTGAGCTTTGACTGTTTTGTTATTTACCTCCATATCACTTATGTATGAGATAGTGGAACTTAAAGAACTTAATGGAACCTCTTTCTCTTGAGCTAACTCCCCCAATATATTCATGTGTAATTTTTAATAAATCAGTATTCGGAGTTGATATTATTATGACTGTGTTTACTATCCAAAACTAAGGCATATTTACTTTTTATACTATGATTACTTTTTAAAATAAACTTTTTAAAATAATTTTAGATTTATAGGGGCGCCTGGGTGGCTCAGTAGTTAAGTGTCTGCCTTCGGCTCAGGTCATGATCCCAGGGTCCTGGGATCGAGCCCCGCATCAGGCTCCC